GAGCACTCTAACCTTGAACTTGTGCCCCCCTCCCCACTCTTCCTGCCCACCTCCCACACAACTCACGGTATGTTAGTTACTGTTCCAACTCTCTGGACTTCTTCGAACATGTAGTCACCAAACTCTGCTACACAAACACTGTTGATCGAGTGCAGTTTTCTGCCACTTAGACTTTAGAATAATAATCTCTTGCTCTCCTGGTTGGTCAATGCACTAAGTGTACTCCCCGAGGGATGTCTTTTCGGAGACATTGATGCTTCGACACATCAGTATACCAGTGCAATTGACTGACCAGGAGAGCGAGAGATTATTCTAAAGTCTAAGTGGTGGAAAAACTGCACTTGATCAACAAAGTGTTTGTGTAGCAGAGTGTGGTGACTACATGTTCGAAGAAGTCCAGACAACAGTGTAACTTAAAACATACTCTGAGTTGTGGAAGAAGTGTGGGAGGTAGGCAGGAAGAGGGGGGGCACAAGTTCAAGGTTAGAGTGCTCTATATACTAAGTTTTTTGGCGGGAAAACTTAATCCAATTAATTAACCAGGTGAGGGTGCCAATTAATTTTTTTTTGGCGGGACAAAACAAAGGATTAGTGTGGAATTAATACAAAGATAGAGAATTTAAGTGTAAAGAAAGGTCTAAGGGGACAATTTTGGGGGCAATTTGGCATTCATACGATACGAAGAGGATGACTAAGGAATTAATGCAGCCGGCTAAGATTCAAAGTTTTTTGGCTAGAGAATTTAAATGTAAAGGTCCAAAGCGAAAATTTTGGGGGCAATTTGGAATTCATACAATATGAAGAGGATAACAACGTGGAATTCATGCAGCCGGGTTAGATGCGAAGTTTTTCGGCAGGAGAATTTAAGTGTTAAGGTATGAAGCAACAATTTAGGGGTAATTTGGCATTCAACCATACAATATAAAGAATTTTTCAGTGTTCAACCATTATGAAATTGAAGTCGCCGGCTACAATAAATGTTAAATGGCTCCTCACGAAAAAAGAGAAATGTGAGTGCAAGTGTGTGCATGTAGAGTGTTGTCTCGTGTTAATAAAGAAACCATACTCACTCCTCCCCATCTTCTTTCACGCAGCCCTGCCTACAAAAGTCTGGTTCTTCCTCCTGCGGCAGTCCACAGTCTCCGGGTCCGCATCTTGAAGACAAAGAAACAAAAGTTACTGTATTGACAACAGCAATTGGCCTTACTAATGCAAGATATTATGTCACACAACGTGCAAGTTTATGACTGTAAGAATGGAGCTAAATGCTGCCTGTAAAGGTCCAAAGCACAGTGCGGAAGCTTGCTTCTGTTATAAGTTCCCACACAATATTTTATTTTCAGAAATGACTTAGACTAGCTAAGTTTACTAGACTAGAAGTTAAAAGGTGGAAGTCAATTATGATTAAGAAGATACCAGGGAAAACACTTTGATTGCAAATGATTTGAAAATATACCCCATTACCATACAGAGAAACTAAAGGCAATTTTGCATGTGCTCTCTTCAATAGGAAAATGTGTTTAACACAGTGTCTGCAATGAGTTATCACAACCTTAAACTAAATATTAGTATAAAAAGTGTGAACGCTTTCAAAAATGACAACAAATAGCAGGGCGGGCTAATTTTTCAAACAATGGTGTTTGGAACTAAAAATCTAGAGGATCAAAAAAATTGCCCTTTGCCAACATTTTTCATCGTCATTTTTGTTAGGGATCTGCAAGGAAGTTCACGATCAAGCTTTGTGCTAAATTCCCGGAAAGCAGCGACCACGTATTATGCTTCATATGCACAAGCTGGACGTTTTATGCTTTATGCAAATTTCAGAGCAGCGCAGCATCCAATTAACGTTACACAAAAGTTTAATTATGCAACCAGTTGATTACACCTTGCAGCATGCAGATCCCCAAAGAGTTCTAGAAGTGAAAGTCAACTCACAGTCAGGTCCGATGTTCTCTTGTCTCGAAGATAGTAGATGACAGGACCCTCAGAAACACAATGGGTCCTCCAGGAATACAGACAGGTCCTCCAGGAATATAGACAGGTATACAGGAGAGCTGACAGGTCCCACATGGTCTGCGGTATACAGCATCAGCTTCCCACAACCTATGGTACAAAAGAAAACTCATTCAGAAAAAACATATTCCAAATATACATACATCAGCAATATTCACAGAACACACATGTCATTAGACAAAATACATTAATAATATTCACACATTTGTTCAAAAGTTTTAAAACCTGCTTTGGGTAAATGGTACATGCCTCTGTTACTGAGGAAAAAGAGAGCATTGCAGAAGTAGAGTTGTAACATTCAGTCAAAAGTGAAAATAGATCATAACCAAACAACAATCACATGAAAATACATCTGACATATCACATCAAAACAATCCACATGACAAGTTGACACACATCTCATGTTGACAAAACAGTCATTGAAAATTCAAGCTTCAAGCTACAGTCACATCATACTATAGCCAGCAATACTATGTTGCATCCAATATGTACCATCGAATATGTATGTGCAGTCATGTACTGACGGCACATAGAAATGCATTATTACAAACATCAGTTCAACAAACTTCAAACACAACTCTTGTTGACAGAGCATTGAGATAAAATTTTTGATGACTAAGTGTCCTGGAAAAGACAAACTTTTTTTAATAAGTTAAAAAACACCATGATATGTTAAATAAAAGACTTCTGAGAATATTGAAAATAAGCTCTTAATTATCCATAATTATGATGAGTAACACAGTACATGCATAAAATTATTGTATATAATCCATAGAACTTAAAAGAATGGTGACTCACAATCATGCAGTGTAGATAAATGTAAAGAATGCATCTTAACAAACAATCCATGACAAACACATAGACATACTTGTAAAATTATTGCCATGCCGATTGTGAATAGTTTTCATCTTACCATCAACACTTTAGGCTCACCTAAAATATCATTGCACGTACTTTTGTTCTGCATCTGGGAATTTGTGCTTCGAATCTACAATCCAAATCAGATTAATGAATTAACTCCACATATAATAATAATACAAATACATATGTATACCCAAAACAATACACCCATTTTCATGGAAGTATATATAACTCTCATTTCACTTGTATTAGTAACAATACCTCTTGTTTCAGGTAGGTACATGTAATGAAGTCAACTTTGTACACTAGACCAAACATGAATATTGTCCCTAGCTACCTGGCCACCTTGTTATAACACTTACCTGTCGGACAAGGCAGGTCGCACAGGTTCACTATGTCTTCTGTATACCCCTCGACTTAACACACCGCTTCACAAGCACGTGGCGAGGCGGCAGATGGCAAATATTACACAGAACGACGTGTTACAGCAACTCACCTTTAAAAGTCTTATCTAGATCTAAACGTTGTTTGAAGCTATCTACTGTACTTGGTGGCAACGAGTTCCACTCTACGAATTCTAGGGAAAAATTAGTTTTTGAACACCTCAATCCTTGGTTGATAACTCTGGTACTTAAAGGCATGACTATTTCTTGTTCTTTTCTGAGTATAAATATACACGGCAACAATAACACCATCATTGATATAATGCCCAATTTGTTTGGAAAGGTTCCGGAGTGATTCATAGTTCGGTATCAAACCCAGGGCCCTACTATATCGAACTTCGTCGCACATCTGGAGTGCCCTCCAGCGGCAGAATTAAACCCAGGGAACCGTCGCCGCAAGTAACTTAAGCTATTCTGTGTTTTTCCTTCATTTCATTACAATTTGTTCACTTAAAATAGTCACGACAATATGGAGGATAATGTTAAGTAGAACTCACCACCTAAAACGGACGTACGTAGGGCGTCTTTCAAGGCGAATTTTAACCGCCGAGTTCTCCCATTCCAAACGCACTCGCCATTTTCCTGCGGCGGCGTGGTCCTACCACCTGTTCATGAATCACCAGAATTTGCATTTTTCTCAATTAGGCCACAGCAAGTAATTTTTATGGGTGACATCCTTCGCAGGCTCCAAATCAACTGCGATATGGCGAAAAAAAAGGCGGGCCAAAAAAACAAGATTCCTACACTTTCAAGTGTTGACATCACAAATCTTGCTAAACAAATGATACTTATCTTGTGTTAAGTTTACTGCCAACTATTACTGTACAACATCCATTTCTCACTGAAACAACTTTGAAAATTGCGAACCGAGATTCCGAACGCTAACAAATATATCCCCCGACATGACTTGTACTATAACTAACCGCGAATTATGGCGTGTCCAAAGATAAGACCAGCTGGCGAAGCTTAGTTTCAAAGATTTTTTAAATGCGGCAAAACGTGATTTTGCAACCAGCCGATCGCTTGCAGAAGTGGTCACATCCTTTAAATTTTCGCTGTCGATCTCGTTACCAGATGAATGATAACCAAGCAGAAGTAAGGATGGAAAATCGTAACTTTAGATGGAGGATTGACACAGTATAAGACCCCTTATTTCGGAAACACGGTAATACAAGTAATAAGACGGGTAGAAGGAAGGTCGGAGGTGGTGTGTGTCTGAATATGGGGCCACTTTCTCGGACGTCGCGGCGCTTGGAACCGACGGGCGTCCGCGCACTTTACTAACGGTAATAAAAGGATAATTGCAAGGATTACAACTTTGAAAAAAACTCACCTGACTTGCAATGATAATCTTGGCTGCTAGGCGGCGCTTTTAAACCGCGTGCAGAATACACAACTTGCAATGATACATTTAGCTGTTATGTGGCGCTTTTGAACCGTATGCCAAATTCGGTGAATATGTGAGTTTCCCGTTTCACGATGAATATCCGACTTTCACATACAAAGAATACGTGATTTGATTGCTGAAAGCCATAAATCATAATAGATTATGGTCATTAGAAGTTAATGATTAATGCTGCGAATAAAAGAAATTTCAACGCTGTAATTTTTTCATGTGGCGTTCTACACCAACAATTGGACATAGAATGTCCTTGATACAAAGTACCTCTGCTAAGACACTAACCCATGTGATCACCTTAATTTTTATTGAATAAGACATTAAAACAACACCACACAAGAAAGGTTTATCTCAAAAGGAAGAATGACATTCTCACAATCATACTCACAATCATATGGTAATATTCATATGACAGACACAGCTCAGTACAAAGGAGACCAACACAAAATTCCATGTTGTAAGACTACGCAACATGCACTGTGATGTAAATATAACAGTTGCATGATGGTTAGTTGACTGGAGTTCCAATCTTTGCAGCGTGCACTTCATAATGTTGGCTTCATTGTTTACTGTTTCAACAATCAGGATTATTATACTACACAGGTAGGTAAATAATAGTAGCAGCTATCAAAAAGTCGCTAGACAACAATAGTCTATGCAATATATGTATAAATGCCTAAAACTATGTCAAACTCTCAATTCTTTTAGATAAACCATTTTGCCAGATGACTATCACAAAACATACATCCGTCCACGCCAAATTGCCTACTATATAATTATAACATAAGCCTTTGTTGCATGAAAGACGTCACTTCATAGTGCAGCTTATTGTCTCACATTCTATTTAAACTGTTTTTAGTTACAAGAATGCAGTTTGCTATACTGGTGGTGACTGGGAGCTTGTGGATGTAAAATGTACATAATCCACAGTTGCATAATCTCAAGACTTGAGTGATATATCCTGCTTACATATAAAGATAAACTATAAAGTTACATGTACAAGATAATTGGGTGGTAAGCATCTCTCGGACACTTCCATGTCTAACGGTTTTTCTCTTATTAAAGAAATCTTATATAGAACCTAAAAACGATTTCCTGTGTTCTGGAGTCAAACTCTACAACTGTTACAGCTCAATACTACAAAATGACTTCGTCTTCCAGTTTTGGTATTTGAAAGTTGGCATCTACAATTGTAGTTTCTATACAAATCCATATCCCCACAACTTGTACATTGTTTATGTACAGGTACTGGCCAATGTCCCGATTCTTAAACTGCTTCTAGATATGACCATAGACCTGTCGGTAACCCCTTAACTTGGTGGTAGGAAATATAGTGAAGACTACAGTACATCCTGGCACTCAGGAACCTACTTGGCATTATGTATTCATTTTGTATCCAACCATTTGTTGTTCCTCAGTTAAAAGTTTCCTGACCTAATCATTGCCATGATGCTGATTTCATTTTGCATAAACGTGGGTCAGATATACATGTGCCAAAGGTATTGGTGCTTGTGAAGGTAAAGTAAGGGTGTTTAAGGTTCAATTTCCTCCTCTTCATAGTCATCTCCAGATGCATCGGTATAGTCCTCGTCATCAGTGGTTTCCTCAAAACCCCCATCCTCCTCCTCCGGCTCCTCTTCCTCCTCAGGCACCTGGTCCTCCTCCTCTGCCTCCTCCTCATCAGCTTTCTTTTCTAGAGGAGTATCAGCTCCAATAGCATCTGAGAATCAATCAATCAAACAATCAATCAATCAATCAAACAAAACCATTTATTTTTTTATAGACATAGTAGCATGAGGCTGAAATACACCCATAAAATACAGTCATCAAAATCTTAATCCCGAAACACAGAGGAACTTGTCATTAGTGTCCTTTGGTATCATTTAGAACCTGAGATTTACAGAGATCATGATGAATTGATAAATCAATTTTCACAGCTGGGTACAGTTTGGGTTCATATATAAAAGCATAGACCCCTTCAGTGCACAATGCACCATTTCAAATGTCTTTCTAGAAATGATGAACAGATTACATGTACATCCCGTACATTAGGAACGCATGCGCTGCAGTTATTCCATTGAGTTTGAGTGATGCCAAATTGCTGGTTGTGACACTAAGTACATTTCCATCTGACACTTTGACATTAGGATCTTGAGATTTCCAAGACCTCTCATTCCGGCCACAGCGGTGAATCCTGAACTACAGGTACGTGACCTGCATGTGGCTGAACTGACATTAATTCATCACTCTGGCAGATGTGCTCTTTACAAGGTAACCTTTCCAGACCTCTAGCCTCCTGCACTTTGTAAATATTACGTAATGCTGCATGCAACAAGAACTTTATAATCCCTCATCATCCCAGTATTTTGTGAAGAACACACGATGTATGACTGTAGAGGGTAGGGTACTGTTACCAGGGCTTTCACTATCAATGAAAAACTGAGTCAACCATAAAACTGGTCATCACCCTTTGTTTTGCTTTCATCATGTTTTTCCAGTTCAGTATACCGTAAATGTCCGATGAATTTTTCAAAATCTAAAAAGTGCCTCATGTCTCGCCAAAGTTGGGGTGCATAATTTATTTCAGTTTTTTCAATTGACATTTCAGGTTGGCAGATTTGTCTCCAACAGGCCCGAAATCCGTGGTGTGTAATTTGATCAAAATGCGTACTTTAAGCAGGTATTTACAGGGTTTAAAAAAATCTGAGAGCCAAGAAAACGTACCACAGACGGCATGTCCCCGGGTACGTGTGTCCTCCAGCTCATGGCCGTGCTTGTCCACACACCAACAGTACGGGCCGTTGCACTGCTCTGTCATGTAGTAACCGTCCTCAGCACACCGAGGGATGTACGCACCTGTGGTGGTGAGAAACAGAGGATTTTGGAGATAAGCTTCAATTGAAAGTGACCTTGAACCAGTTAGGTTTGAACCAAACAACGGTGACGACCTTCAAAAAGCAAGACAAGGCAATCAGGCAGATCAGTGTTCATTCTCATGTTTTACACTTGAACATAATACAAAAATTATCTAATGATGATGAGTACAAATTTCCTTACCCATTTACATATATTTTGTTCTCAATAGGACCTCTAGTCTTGCAAGATGTGATCTTCAATAAAAACTTAACTTGATGACTGACACTTCAAAAGGACTTGGATATACATGTCTTATACTGAGCTTACCAACACTATAGTATGTCAAATTCATGAATTTGAAATGTTTCCACGAAGGACTCACCCAACAAGAACTTCCGTTGTCCGTTCACTTCTGCCACAGGAACCTTGTCCAGTTCAGCAAAGCATGGTGGTTCTAATGGCAGCAAAGAAACAACTGTTACAGGCTACTGTACATCTTGAAACATTTGCAGCGGTTTTCTTTCTTCAGTACAAATTAATGACAATGCTAATATGATTTACCTAAAAGCTGGTATCTAGTCTTTCACACTTGCTTGAGAACAGCATGCATAATCAGCAATCATAAAATAGATAGATAACCGTTATTGTACATTATCATATAGCCGGACGGCGTGGACCAATCAGAGGCCCGGATACCCGTGCTGTTATTTCCCGATAACAGCACATGTGGTGTTATGGCGGAATAACAGCACATGTCGTGTTATGGCTGATACCATTATGTTATAGGGTATAGGGGCATGCGACTCTTTCTGTAAACCTTTGTAGCATTTTTCTGTCCAATAAACTTTTTTGTTTAGCTTCATTTAAACTACAATTTGCATTAAATGAAATTATCCATATTTGTTTTAAAGCGTATAATATATTCGAATGTATTTTATGTATGTATATATATTAAAGCTGTTGTATTTCAAACAGGAATTGTGTTGATTGACAGTTTGGATAGGCTATATGATAATAATTTTAATGCACTGCCTTTTCCTCGTTGTATATGGTGTCATAACTGCATGGGCAGCTGCCATAACCACCTCATAAACCACCTCGTTCGCTTCGCTCACACGGTGGTTTATTCGGTGGTTATGGCAGCTGCTCATGCAGTTATGACACCATATACAACTCGGGGCAGTGCATTAACCCTTTATTCATGCCCTATCGGACTAAGTACAGGTGAACAGATCAAAAGGTATAAACATGTTTGTAATACAAACAGGACTACTGATACTAATCTACATCAGCCCTAAAACTACTGTAATACAGAGGTTCTGCTTCTTCTCATTTCTTTGTGATATCAAAAATATAATTTGAAATGGGTTTATTTAATACAGGATGTGATTGAGCATAAGAAAGATGAATTTTCCAATATTAGTCAAGGATTGGAAGTATAGGAATGTTCTTGTAATATATTCAAAAAGATTATTTCTATAAAATAACAGGTTTCTTACTGGCTTCCTCGAAACATGAGCACCATTCGTTGGCTGAGAGAATGTCGTCCTTGATGCGGTCACACCTGTCGATGAAGGGCGTGATGCAGTGCTCGTACTCGTCATACTCGATCAGCGACAGCTCCTTCTTACTCAGGAACAGGTCAAAGTTGACATCCAGCTTGCTGAACATCCAGCCCACAGCCGGCTCGTAGCATATCTGTACGTTCTTGGTGGCTGTGAGGAAAATATGGTTCAGTACAAAATGTGTTGTGGTATTTACTGTACAATGTTGAGGAGGCACAGGCAATAATTACATCCATCATCACTTGACAATGCTTGTCTGTCTGACAAAGTCAACTATTACACAACACTGAGTTGAGCCTGGGTCTATATGAAATACACTTTATTTTTACTGTACAATTTTGTGGAAGCACAGTCAAATAACCATCATTATTTGGGTTGTCTGTCTGACAAAGTCAACCATTACACGTTATACAACACTGAGTTCTGGGCCTGGGTGTAGGAAGTCCTTGTCTGTGTGATCTACTTACTGTCAGGCTTTTCCTTCTCGTCGTTCTTCCTGAGCACTTTGAACCACTCCAGCAGGCGGTTGCCCATGTCCTCTAGTTCCTCAGTGCTGCAGACTGAAGACCAAATTAAACACAAACTGTTAGCCACTCATACAAACTGTCTAAGCCAGTGATCTCCTACTTCTTTATTACACTGAAAGCATTGACCCAGCGTTGCTGTAAAATGTCTTCGTTTTTCTCTTAAAGATACTAACATTTAAAAATTTTACACCCAACTATGCCACAACCACTGCTAACTTACTCCCAACCAGCTGCCAACCCATTCCAGACCCCATCACTCCCCAATGTGTATACCGGTATGTCAACATCTTTTAGTGAATCCTTAATAGGGAGATGGAGGACTTATACCACCAACTGATACAGCTACAAATGACAGTACCGGTATGACAAATTTGATGCTGTTGTACCTGTAGTTTGAAGGATATGATGGTCACAATGAACATATGTCACTTGGTTTTGGTTGAACAAACTTTGTAGTATTTATGTATGTAGATGTCACACCTTTGTTATCAGGCTCATCCTCCTCCTCTTCATCATCATCATCATCAACATCTTCATCTTCATCATCATCATCGTCCGCCTCCTGTGCGGGGTCCAGCGGGATGTGGTCCTCCAGCGGTGCCTGGAACTGAACCTCGTCAGGCGTGATGATCTCACTCCTCTCTGCAGGGGGGAGGTTGGGGGCAGCATGAACTGTTAGTGAGGGCGCAGCAATGTTCTCTCCTCCTACTATCACATCCTCTATAGGCTCCTCCTCTACTACTGGCACAAGCTCCTTACGGATTTCTACAGCAGGAAGTTTACTGTATTTTTCAGTTTCTAACCCTACAAAATTGTCTCTTTGGAGTGTTGTCACCTTAGGATAGCTCACTGGAAAAGTGCTGAAATCTTTCTTCTCTATACTGAAGTCTATGCTATCAGTTTCATAAGTAGGAAACTTGACATAGGCATAGACTACACCATCAGATTCTCCTGATGGTATTCTATACCCCTCTACATCTGCATAGTTTGTGTCTTCAATACCGCCAACCATCTTTCCCTTGGGATACTTAGATTCTTTCATAATTTTCTGTTTCTCTGTTGCATCAATCTTAACATCCTCTATTTCTCCCACCATTTTGTGTAAGACGTATTTCTTGTCTTTTTTGGGGATGAACAAGTTTGGTTTCATTGCACTAGACTTCTTTTCTTCAAGATTATTGAATGAGTCTAGAGGGTTCTTGGCAACATCCTCATGAAGTTGTGAGTTTTCAGAAATTTTGTTGGACATTGTGGTTTGTTTAAGGGCATCTACTTTAAAATGGCTATGCTGTTTAGTATCTGTTGAGACAGATGCAATTGAATTTGGAATGTTATTCTTTATCTCTATAGGATTGCTATTATAATAACTTACTTCATTCTTAGAATTGTCTTCTTCTACAGCAAACTTTGGTACATCTAAAATCTTATCTTTTGGTAGATTTTTGGTATACATTTCCTTCTTAATGATATCTTTCTGGAAACTTTCATACTTTGGTTTATACAGTTTTTCTAACACTACTTTTTTGGTGACAAACGGTTTTGACCAGTAACTTCCATACTTAAATTTCGACTTATAGTTGCTTCCAAATTTGCCGCCGTAAGGATAGTAACTAGCAGGAGCATATTTTGCAGACAGATGCTTGTAGTAGGACTGCTTTGAGAAAAGGTTATCAGTGTGCTTGTTATAGAATGACTTTTTGTTAGGCATAAAGCTAGCTTGGGCTTTGGGGTCAATGGTCAGATCTTGGGATTTGACAGAAAACGAATCTGGAAAAAACAAAATAGACATACAGAAAGAAAATTTAGTAACAACAGAAAGTGGTGAAACAATAAGAAGATGAGGTGCAATTACAAAATGTGACTGGAACTCTACTCCAACATAACAGTATATTTACACATACATGTATGTACAAACTGGTGCAATGTTGAGAGAAAGAACTTTTCAAACAACACAAGTTTTATAATACAGAATGTGTTAAGTGATGATGAAAAGGATGTAAAAAGGACTCAGGAGATATTAGATGTCATATTTTCAACATTTAACAAGAAATTTAACATTTTATTCTACCACTTCAGATCAATGAATGTTGACTTAAAATTTTTAAGAATCCAAATTGGTGACACCACCACAATTACACATTACCTAGTACGGTATCCTGATCAATGTCGTCTCTGTTGACAGAAATTCCGACCAGGATCTCTACTCATACAATTGGCTGTACTGCTAGATTGCAGTCTCTACCTTGACATATACATTGTAGGTAATGACTAAATGGTGATCCTTACAAAATTGTCTAAAATAATATTACGTCAGTGAGACAATCCCACACATTCTGTGTGTACCTGGGATCTGGGGTTTGCAGGGGCATTTGCCAGTGCACTCCTCCTGGATATCCTTGCCAGACACACAAGCCTGTGGACACATTTAAGTAGAGATTACGTCATTCATGTTCATACATTTTGTACATCACGATATTGAACAAAATTGTTAATACTATGCCTCAAATATTTTGGAAGACATAAAGTACATTTTATTCTAAGCTGTCCCTTCTGCAATCACAAGAAGGGAGTGATATACATGTATATCACAACACATAAGTTTTTTTTTTATTTAAAGGGATGGACAGCCCCTGCCACGTACCTGATAGTCCAGTTTACACTTTGAGGAGTAGGTGACGCCGTCAGTGCCACAGACTGGTTCAGGGCGTACAACTGGGCATGGAGTGCAGCCATACCTGGTGTGAAAGTGGTCTTGTGGTTAGGGTTGTTGACGTAGAATCTTGAGGGTTCATAGCTGGCCCAACCTCACAATCTTGGGAAAGGAATTTTTATCTGTTTCCTCACTAGTACTTATGGTGAAAATGAGTATGCCAAGCTTCTCAGATGTATTTTAAGCTGGCGGTCCCATGTTTGAGGAGAGTCACACCTTGAACACCTTAGAAATCCCACCACAATTATTGAAAAGTGTAGAGGTCTATCTCAGCGTGAGTTAATCAAACTTTATTTTCCAGTCTTATTGTTTCTTAAGTTGTACTTACTTATCTGTTTAAGGCAGTTACCAAAACAAACAGTCAAACAAAATACATGTACCTGTCCTTCTTCTTCTCTTGGTACTTGGACCACTTCTTCCTGTGGGCGACAACCAAATTATGTGTTACTCCTGCCCTCCAGCTATTGCCCTGGCAATGTCATTACTGTCTGCCATGTCAAGCCATCCTCAAAAATCCCACTATATTTCAGAGTACCGAGATGACAGCAGCTCCTAAACCCCGCATCAATTTGTGTGACTAATATGGAGTCTGCGTCCGAGATCCCGCAACATTTCCTGAAAGACTAATATGAAGGGTGTGTCGAAATCCCATCAAGTGTCACCTGACTTATATTCAGTCGTGTCTCTTGTGGCATTTCTGATAATTGGTGTGGAAGTACACGGAGCTTCAAATCCCATTTCGTGTTGGAGACTACTACACTCCAATTCCACTAGAGGCTGACTCTGATGAGCAACCAATGAGTCACCTAAAATTTGACAGACCACTCAACAAAATTCACCTTGAAAAATAAAAGAATTTTAAAAACATTTTTTGTGCTCTGTAAGTTGTCTTTTAAATCATATGCAATCATACATGTACTTCATATTCGAATTACAAAAAAAAGAAATACAAATCTGATTTTGGTTGCCCAGTGATCACCATCTACTGGAAAAGGGGCCTTAATAGCAGTTATTGTCTGAATCTGGATTCCGAAGGAATAATTTGCTAGGAATGTATACACTTACAGTAGCAGATCTGAAGCTTTTGAAAGTCAGTTCGACTAGCCCTAATAACCCTGCTGGCAAAACATACCCTGTTCTGACCATATTAGCCAATCAAAGCAATATGTGGATATAAGTGAGTCATAACACAAAAGAGCCTCCGTGTCCTATCTGATTGACTTGACCCCCCGGCCATATGGTCTTGTTCCGCTCCAACAGCCTGCAATTCTGCCAGCAGCTAAAATCCTTTTTTGGCAACCAATACTCTATCTTTATCTTTAAATTGCCTTCTATTGCCAAGTGATTGTCCTCAATGTGAAGTGATTTCTTTGCTGTGCTGGCGAAAAACAGACCATTGAATTTTCTATGAGCCAGTTCATACATGTGTAGTTTAAACTACACACTCAGGTGTGATGTCAAAACTTGTATTTATTGTCTAGACCATGTTTGATTGTCTAGACAATTTATTGTCTAAACAACATTTTTTGCATACTGTATATATCTCAGGGGCCTTAAACTCTGACATATGACCCACATTGAGCATGAACAATTCAAACCATGAAACAGCTTATTACTGAGAAAGAGATGACTCACCCATTGCCCAGCTTCTTCTTGCTGATACACTCCACAGACCCGTCAGAGCTGGGCATACAGACTTTGTGTCGGCCACACTTCACCCAGCGACACGGGTCCTCTGTAGGTAAAGCACCTATTGTCAGACTCTAATTATCCAACATAAGTACATGTACTGGCCTGTTCCTCAAAACCCCTCAATCATAAGAAAACAAAAGCAATCTGCAAAATTTTGATTAGTCTAGTGTCAAGAATTACTACATAATTATTATATAACTATATGTATATAGATATTGAGAGTAATGGTAACGTTACATGCAGTGAAGAAAACACATCACACATTTCCGCACATTAAGCACAGTGGGCCCAATGCCAACTAAATTTTTTCAATGTTGAAGAGTTGTAGGCTGCAGCTTAACATCACAATCCTCAACCACTAACTGATCCAAGGGGCACTGTGCCATCTACCAATGAAATATATTCTTGGTGTGTGTTATCAGGCACAGGTATGGAAGCCTTACTGCGCTGTGCACAGTAATAGCAAGCCATTACCACATAGCAGAACTTTAGGAATACTTGACAGCAATCGCTATTCTTTAAGACTTAGCTGCATATTTTTTCTGCTAACTGTGCATATTTTTTCTGCTCTTCGAGAAGGAAGGTCTCTAGCAACAATCATGTCCAATCAATGATTCCATTACAGCAAAAATCCCGTCCAACATGACAGTTGATACGGGCCCTCCTGACGTTGTGTGATATAGATTAGTGAGCAGGTGCATGGGGGTACTTCCTCATTATAGACAGCAAAGGTGAGAGGAGGTTTTAATGGGCTGCGGTCGATGTGCTCGGCGTGGACTGACAAGACAGATGTCGCTTTCGGCTGCTGCTTATCCCTCAGGGACGTAAAACGAGGAAATAATTTTGACACCATCCCTCACATGCAGGGGTTTTATGACATTTCCGCCTGACATTGGACTCTACAGGCAGTATACTGTGCTGATGAAGGGCCCTGGAGGGGTCAAGTACATGTCATATGTCGAATCATATGTGGTTTTTATTCATAGTTAATGTTCCCATGATTAAAGGAAAGGGTGTTGTAATCTAAATACTTCATTGGAGTAGGCACAGGCACAAGCACGCAGGGCAGTTGTCTGTGCAAAGGAAAGACTCATTTAGAGACTACTACAATGGCCAAAAGAACAAGGTCAACCAAAGTTTGCATGTGCAATCCCATGACAATCGTACACCAAATATGACTGGGCCTTACCCTGAACAAAGTTTGCATCAGCATCATCCACAGCTATCTCAGGCTGCCAGGTGTCCCTGGTCAGGTCCTCATCATCTGTGTTCTGTACAGAAAGAGAACAACAAGAAAACATATATTTAATAAATGATGAGATAAACTTAGTGATCATTAGTAAACATTGTGATTAGTGTCAACTTATTCTCTCAGTTCATTTTAGTGATGCTGAAAAAGAGTCTGTGACGGATGTCACATGATACTTCCGGAAGTAATCTCTGTAACTTATCCAGTAGTAGAGTTTGACTTGTTTTTGAATATCGTTTAGTACCTGGATGTCTAACCTTCATCCACGTAGCATAAGAAAAACTGTTTGCACTATCAGCTATGCAACATTTCTACAGTTTTAATGGAAATGGAAAAAACTGATGCAGCATCCATGTGACTCTGGCAAAATTCTTGTCAACAAATTCTATTAAGGACAATAATGAAGTAAGAAGAAATACATGATTGTACAAGCATGGCATGGATAGGGTTTGCATGGGAGCAGTCATATACGGATATTGTTTACAAAACGCATGTCGTACAAGTGAAATTCTTAGTGTAATGATTATGTACTCATTAAATGTAAATCAACTGTGGGGAAATAAACCCTCCATCTAACTTGAGTGTTCCTTTAATTAAAGTTTCCCAACACTAAAATGTTCAGTCATCCAATTGATCTTGCCAAAAAAGCAATAAGAACAAACCCATTAACATTTACACCTTTGCACTTTAGTATAAGACCCTGGGTCAGGTCCAGACCAAGAGATGCCTCTATATGCAAAGGGAGTACTCAAAGGCTTTAAAGAATATTTTTGCTCCTGCTGAGTTTAATATTGCTGAAACTATATTCAGATTCCATTAAGACAAAAAGTTACAAAACACAGAATGGCTACTAATTTCTGAAAACGATTTTGTTTTATCAAACAGTATCATACTTTGCATGCATATAAACTGCATGCAACTGCATGACTAGTAGAATGGTTATGGAAAGGTTTAACGTTTTACACAAAAATATACATGTCATGTAATGTTACAAGATTAATCTGTTCTTTCTCTTACAACATTATGATACACTCTTTTTAAACAGGAACTGTCGTGTAGACATTTGATGAACCAAAGAAGGAGGAAAAAACAAAAGATCTATGGAGGGTCTGTAGCCCAAGCCTTGAAATGACTTTGATTTATGTGAACCATTATCAGTGGCTCCAAGAGGATGATGCTTTTGTGAAGGATTGAGGACTTTTCCATTATCGCCTAATCATGCCGGTGCATTCCAAATGAACTCAATGCCATCCTGAGACGGGTTCTTGTGGGGGACTGGCCTTGCAAACGAGGTCTCTGACCTATCTTAAAGAGACTGTGATACAATTAATCTATCATCCTTTAATGTTAGAAATCAGTGACATTCATGGATAATGTGATGTATTTTACTGGCTTTAAAGCTAATCAGAAATCAGTGTAATTTTAACTTTATACTTTGTAATATAATGTTTTATAGAGTTTGCTAGCTACCTCTGTGAGTTATTGTTTCTGGTGTGTGTGTGTGTATGTGTGTGTGTGTGTGTGTGTGTGTGTGTGTGTGTGTGTTTGTGTGTGTGTGAGTGTGCGTGCGTGCGTGTGTGCGTGCGTGTGTGTGTGCACGTGTGCATTTGTCTGTGTACACATTGCCTGTGTGTGTGTAAGTGTGTGTTTCAGACCCACTCCAGTCACCATACTTCAAGAACCTATTGATGGATTGTGATGACATTTGCTATATACAAGCAGGTATTCTAGAAGCTTCTCCTACAATAGAAGGGCCAAAGAGGGGACATTTTACCTCAGGTTTTTTACTGCAATCATCATATATCTTACAACTGTAAGAGATGTATCAGCTGAACATCAACACACAGTTAAAGGCCAACCTGTGATATACCAGTGATTTGTATAGATATCTGGACATTTTCAGATGAACATCATGAATTATACAGGGACTGTGATTCCTTCTAGCACCACAAAAATCTATGATGCTTCAGGCTGTACTTGTTTAAAGTACAAACTCCATTTCAGGATCTACCTCTAAAGCTGGACAAGTGACTCTCAACTATCTAGCCCTCTCTTGATACCTTTTATGTGGCATTAGCAATTATTATAAGAACTCTCCAAAGTAATATAGACAAGGTCTGATAATGTGTTCTGATCATTATAAAGAGCCAAATTGTCTTCCTGTGCTTCCTGAAATGCCACCTTCCATTAGACTCTGGGTAATTTGATGGAGGACATCACATATGGAATCTCCACAGCGCTGAAGTGCCTCCTAGCCTGGACTACCTGGCTTAGGCATCTTCTGCTGGCTCATGGCTTCATTTGTCAACCTGTTGTTTATATACGGTCTTGAAGTTCTAGGGTGGATTTGCTTTGTAGTAGTTTTGTTTTCCACATCACATGTAGCAATATGAGCAATAGTGAGTATTTTGTTCTATGCAACATCTACATAGTACATGTGAAAGCAACTCTCATATCTCTTCTGAATACCCTATAACTAGAAGAAAAGGTGAATTTAAAGAAATCTATTTAAAACTGTAATCCCAAAGTATGCACATTTTGCATATTGAGATGTTTAAGACATTTTTGAACAGGCCTTAATAACATGGAAGTATGATAGATGTTTGGGGTCGATTTCATTTGGACATCAGTCTTGTTTATTACCAACTCTCCTCAATTTTTAAGAGGTGCACATAAATTCATCTTCCAAACACCATGGCCCACCTTGTGTACTGAACCAATAACTTTTGATGGCTTTCTCCATCATCCACCCATGCCTGCAATAACATCAACAGCTTTTCAATCAAAATAATCTTCCAAATTGTGCATCCAGCCATCTACTCCGGAGTGGTACCGGATCAGCTAATAAATCAGCATGTACTCATGGGACTCTGATTGCCCTTCATGTTTATAATGATCTGCTCTGAAGGCGCAATTGATTAAGAAACAGGCAAAGATGCATGGCTAGATGATGAGTTGAACTGTGAGAAAAAATAGCGATAAAATAACAAGAAATCAATGATTTTAGACCTCTGAGAAGTATTTTGAATTATGAATTTCTTGTTTTAGTCCACACCAATTTAATTTGTTGGTTCTCGGATTCGCCCCCTTCCTTTTTTTCTGATTTGCAAAAAAAAAAAAAAATGATAAAAAATTCGGGCTCTATATCATTCCAAACTGCTCATGTTTTGGCCCCAACAGTTAAGGGAGTCCCTTCTCTTAAGAGTTGTTACAGTTTTTCCATCTTTCAATGCAGTGCTAATTCATTGTTGGAATTACAAACCAACCTGGTATGTTGACATCATGGCTCCTATCACAGCATTTGGAGCTATCATAGTATGCCTTGGCCTGTTTTTATTTTTATTTTTTCACCCTGTCGCTTCATATTTTTTCTGAAAAAATCCGAGAACCACAAATCAACTTGGTGTGGCCTTATGGTGAGCTTTTCGGTGATCCTGTCCATGTTCCATCATCACTTCCTTCCAGCCTTCCAGCCCAACAACTCTACATGTATGTACTTTCCAGATGTGTAAATCTCTGATTTCTGGTTTGTTATAAGAACACGAGAGAGAAGATATGGCGGGGATAGGTTTCTGTAAATTACTGTAGCAATATTGCTTCTAAGTAGATGGTACCTAATGCACAGGCAGACCCTAATGAGGTACTTCGACAGATAACCCTTCACTGTAAATATCGGAAACCCATTGGGTCAGGTTATGAACTGGCTCTGATTTAAGTTAGCCTTGTTATGGCTTCCAGATCCACTGTTCTGCTTGCTTTTTGATGGATTGTTTGTGATTGATTTTGCAGTCTGGCCCAGAAATGCCATGATGGCTTAATTCTTCTTCAGCAACTGGCATAACTGTCCTATATCCAGGTTGCCCCAACATCCAGGCTTTCATGTCTTGACAACTTTTCAGAAGCTTTCCCTACGTAGATGTCAAGATATCAAGATACAAGCATGGTTTAAGTTATAGGATAAAAAAGTGACAAGAATTATCTACAAGGTAACCTACTTACCAAATCTGAAAGCCTTGAATTATAATTACAACTATATTGTACATCTACAATGCAGATAATAATCATCTAAAGTCTATGAACACCCTACGTGTCTGTTACCAACTGTACATGTAGTTACATTTACACAATGTATTCTCTAATCTTTTGGGTGTTATTATGAAGGTAGTGTCAGTATTAGGGTGTGTCCATGGTACTGAACAATGTTTTCTGAGAAATAAAGTATTAGGGCCCTGTCCTTGGTACTGAACAGTGTTTTCAGAGAAATCAGTGTTATCGATATCAGGGCACTGTCCTTGGTGCTGAACAATGTTTCCACACAAATGCAACAGTACCAGGGTCCTGTCCTTTGTGCTGAACAATGTTTCCAGGCACATGCAACAGAATAGGGGCTCTGTCCTCTGTATCTAACAATGTTTCCAGACAAATGTGACAGTACCAGGGTCCTGTCCTTGGTACTGAACAATGTTTCCAGATGAATAAACTGTTATCACGACCCTATCCACAGTACTGAACACTGTTTCCAGGTAACTGCTTCAAGTCTCTATTATACATGTAACCTCCAGAGACCTGCCAATCTCACAAACTATATGGAGAAAACCTGGTTATCACTTGCACAATGAACATTCCCAGGATGCACAGCTCGGTTGGTTTAAGGCGGCCTAGGCTGATATTCATGTTCGAGTTCGGGCGTGTGTCTGCACGATTGCCACATACATGTTTCGAACCCGAATCATGTTCCACCATGTTCGATATGACGTCATTCGAATAGAACGCGTGTTCGAATTCGGGGTTACCGGCGGTCATTTGTATGTTTCCCCTGTAAACCCGCGTTGTTACGCATTTTATTCACAGAGTAGGACCTAGACGGGTTTACGCGCAGCTGAAAACAACATAAATGATCTTTAGAGTAATCCATGTTTACGTATTATCACTTTTTTATCAAAATTGTCCGAGGCTATTTTGCATATAAGTCGATATTTTTTAACTGTGACGATTTTTTAACGGAAAATGACAGAAAAATAG